GTATCCACAGAGGCATGGGTGAAACTACCTTTGAGCATCATGGAGGAATCTAAAGTACATACTATATTAGCCATGGCTCTTGGGACGCACACCAGGCAGAACAATCTGAATGAATGTCATTCCTGGGCAAAGGCATTAGACCTTCTCTTTCCTGGGTGGACACGGAAACCCAAGCCTGAAGCTCAGCAGCAGCCCTGGCTCACACCCTCACTCTTTTAGTTTCCAGCTCCCTTTTGTTTTTGCCCCTTGACAATATTTCTAATATTTTTTGCTGGTTCCATTATGCATTTAAGCAAATGCTTGCTACTTTTTTTTTTTTTTTACTTCTGCCTAGATGTTTTAGCAGAGAACTTTCAAGTCATGTAGTCCCCCATCCTGCCAGGGCCGGAGGTGCTTGCCATCCAGGAATGAGAGCTGGCCCACCAGCATGGCCTCCTTTAATACAGAGAGCGGCAAGTAAAAGTCTGACTCATAACCACTCTTTTGTGAATACTTAGCAAAACCTGCTATGGGAATACAAGAAACGTGGAGGCAGCAATTCAGCGTACAGATCAGAACGACTTTTGCCACCTGAGGGAGACCTGGCATGTGACTCTGAGGTCTGATAACTTGGCTTTGTAGCACATGTGGGTTGGCTTGACTTATATAAAACCACTGAACTCTGGCTAAAATTAACCCCTAAAGAATGGATCTTTGCATGTAAATACACAGTCACAAGACAATGGAAATGGGGCAGAGGCCAAACTGGAACCAGGATTCTCACCTGACCCAGTAGTTGGACACAAACGTGATCAAACTCCAAGAACCACCTACTGACTTCCTGGCTGAGAATTCTGAATATTTTCTATGAGCCAGTTTTATGAAAGAGGGTCAGGAACATGGAAAGGTATAATGGATTCAGAGGAAGGATGAAACCTTCCAACAGGATGGATGAACTCTTGGGTGTGCTAGGGTGGAGTATGAAGAAGTGAGAGTAAGACTGCTCCAGGGGCTGCGTGTGACACATTCTGTTTTGAAATAGGGCTCTGAGGGAAAAAGTCTGGCTGCATCAGGTCTCTGAGCTGTGTGCACCATGTAATGAAGAAACAAGGGCTGTATTTTCATTGATATTATTTTGAATATTTCCTCCTTCCTCAGGTTAGCTGAGTTAAATATCCTTTAATTCATATAATTTATGGTATACTTCAGGTGGACAAATATGAACATAATCTTTGATTACATTCTTTTTTAAATATATTTTTATTGATTTCAGAGAGAAAGGGAGAGGGAGACATAGAAACATCAATGATGAGAGAGAATCACTGATTGGCTGCCTCCTGCACGTCCCCTATTGGGGATCGAGCCTGCAACCTGGGCATGTGCCCTTGACCAGAATCGAACCCGGGACCCTTTAGTCCGCAGGCCGATGCTCTACTCTGAGCCAAACTGGCCAGGGCTGATTATATTCTTTGGGTAGTGGTGAGGAACAGTTTGGTTCTACTGCCTTGAATAATTTTATAATTGTGAGAATGATTCAGCTAAAGCACACACATGCATGAGTTGGTCTTGGCTGGTAATTACCATGACATAGAGCTGAGCTGGAAGGAAGTAGAGGGTTGAAGGAGCCAAGTTGGGGGGGGGGCGTGGGGAGGCGAATAAAAGACAGTGAAAGACTGAGACGGAGAGAGAGATGGCCAGATAGAGAGACAAGCTGAGGAGGTCCAAAATAACTCTGAACTGTTTCTTCCCCTTGTCTAAAAATGTGCCCCTGCTGGAAATCTTTCTAGAGGCCCTGCATGAAGACTGAAGACGGGAGAGGAATGTTCAATTACATACCACGAGACAGAGGCTCATAAAAGATAAAAAGCCATGCATTTTTTCCAAATCATTGCAGGGAAAGAATCCACTAAGCTATCCCATCTTGTCTGGTTTTAGACATAAACCTCCTCACAGGTGACACACTCACTAATTCTTTTTAACTAATTATATAAAGATAAAATTAGCAATAGAGATATTCTACCCAGAGTAGTAAATTTGAAGCCTATTTTTACTGTTTTAAAAAATATTTCTTCCTTATATACACACTTTCTTTTAGGGGGTGGGGGTTCAATAATGAAATGGAAAGATTACACCTACCAAAAAACATTCCCAAATAAAGACTGTGCAATTGCTTTGACTGGAGAAACACATTAAAAATCCTTTTATTATACAGGACAAGATTTAAAGGTCAGGAACTTTTGTGCATTTTGCTATATCAAAAACTACAATTACTTACTATAAATGACTTTCCAGTAGTTTAACCAAATGCTTGGGTAATGGTACACAAACATTATCTGCTAAAGACCTTTGTTGAATCTAAATGTCATGAATCTCACTTCTAATTTTATACCTCCATTTCTTTTCTCTTCACCTCACTATTTCATGGCCCTGAGCCTCCTTCTATTTGGAATTCTCACATAAACTACAGAGAAGCCTACTGGAAGGTCTTTAACATCCTACCCTTTGAAAGCAATTTATTTGACAAAATAAACAATATTTTGGGGAAAATACCTGAAATTGGACATTGCTATAAGTTTTTATGAAAGAGAATTTTAGGTTATTTCCAAGCATTTTCCTCAAGTATTTTCCTTCACCATTATACTTGATACTAGTTAATGCTGATAAGATAAACTCTATGAAAGAAATACATTTTTCATTTATACATATAAGCATTTTTTCCTAACTAAAAGGGGATTATTGCAAAATATAATAGCAAGATCGCATTCATTTCAAACTATAGCAAAGTCAATTCTCTTCTCAGATCACCTTAGGCACAGTCATGCCAAAACAAGTATGGTGATTGGGGGTTTTTAGCAAGGATTTCCCCCATGGCTTTTTTGAATTTGTGAGAGTTTATAAGCCTTAATGTTTTCCATGCCTTTAATATGCTGATTTTTTTTAGGATATTTGTTGACTTGGGGAAGGGCATAAACTTTGGTGATGGACATCCTGTGTGTGAACCCCTTCCAGCCAGTTCTCCCTGAAGGATGTTAGGAAAGTCTCGTAGCCTCTTTGAACATATCTGCTTCACCTGTAAAATGTCCAGTTTACAGTAGACCTACTAGCAAGTGGCAACCAAATACCCACACACTTTTTCACACTCATACATGGTAGGTATCTCCTTTGTTCCTGGCCACCAATATACACAGATGATAACGTAAAGTTTTCATGTGGTGAACAAGAAAGGAAGGGGCCATTAGTCACCATATGGTGGGTGTCCAAGTCATATTCAAGACTTCCTCTGAGCTCACTATATATTCTCTGCACCTATTACAAGTCCTATACCTTTATCACCAAGAAAAGAAAAGAATAAATGTCAAAATTTCCAAGAAGGATTAATTAATTTTGAATTGGCAGTCTAACTTCTTCTTCTGCATGTTATTTAGCTAAAAACTCTTTTATCAGTGAAGAGAATTTTCTTGGGTCAAATTACAAAGGAACTAAGTTTCAGATGACATGGCTTTCTAAACAAACAACAAAAAGAACATATAACTATCCCTCACAATCTCAATAAACAGTGGAAAACAACATTCAGAAGCAGGGTATGTTTTCTAGCAGATGAGAAATATATGCTGATGTGTCTGTTATAGAAAGGAAATGATTCATGCAGAATGGAAGATGACAGATTCGTATAGTTATAATACTTTCATTGTACTGAGAAGAAGAGGAAGTCACAGATCACCCTATAGAACACCTCTGTAACTTGCACTTGACCTGCAGCTATGTTTTAGCTGTTATGTTTCTTTATTAGAAGAGGAATTTTCCATATTCATAAAATGACCTTTTGAAAAATATGACCTAGGGCAGTGGTCGCCAAACTTATTAGTCAACCGAGCCAAATATCAACAGTACAACGATTGAAATTTCTTTTGAGAACCAAATTTTTTAAACTTAAACTATATAGGTAGGTACATTGTTATTAACTTAATTAGGGTACTCCTAAGCTGGCCTTTGCTAAAAACGTCCTCAATCTGAGGGGTCGACCTCAGCGAACGTACCCCCACTTCTCCTAACGCCACTTCTTCAAAATAGACTCGCCCAGGCCGAAAACCGACTTCTGCACATGGGCCACTAAGTTTCAATCGCACTGTACGTGCGCACCCGCACGTGGTATTTTGTAGAAGAGCCACACTCAAGGGGCCAAAGAGCCGCATGTGGCTCGCGAGCCGCGGTTTGCTGACCACTGACCTAGGGAATGTCTACTCTTTTATACTTGCTCCCATGTTCAGTTCTAGAGCTGATATCTGTTAAAAATATTTA